GTGAGGTCCTCACATTTAAACATAAGTAGCCAGAGCTGACTGAGAATAGATCAGCCCTATTAAAATCCCTATGCAGCTGTTGTTCTGGAACATTGTGTCTGTATAGTAAGCGTTGAATCATTTCCCAGTGGCAATCTGCAAGAATACAAGTAATTCCAGACTGGCGGTGGCTGGCATTGTTCCTTTTGCTTTCGTATCTTGATGATATTGGCTTATGAGAAGGTCAGTCTGTGTAATATGAACAATTCTCGTGTGTGATTCATACAGAGGCTACTAAAGGTGCTCACCTTCTCACCTGCCCTTCTCCAATCAAACCAAGACTAAAGTAACTGAGTGGCCCAAGGGGTGTCATACATACAGGCCATTTAGCAACTAATGAAACTAAAGTAAATAGGAAAAAAACTGTGGAATCTGAGTAGAACTTATTTAGGACATCGCAGAACATGTAGAGCAGAAGGTAAGGTAGATATTCTGGAAAGTTGAAATAATCTTATCTGTACCTCTCTTGAAAGTTGCTTATTTATTTTAGCGCTTTGAGATGTCTCAACAACATAAGGCGCTATATCAAATGCAAGAATTATTGTTATTATTTTCAGGGTGTACTAAGTGTGTGTTAAGGTATTAAGACTGGAAAAAGATGTTGCTGTTAATCTCCACCTGACTATGGTTCGTGGTTATTCAAACCACAAGATTAATGCTCATTTTACATTTAATAATTTACATTTTCACCGCCATTATTATTATTATCATAGCCATCTCAGACAGCTTTAAATACTTTACCTGTGGTGATGTCTGAATGTACTCAAACCTCTGCTAGAAACGATGGCTCAAGCATGTTGGGAGAATTGGGAAAATGAACAATTGCATGTGGAAGTTTTTTTTGGGTCAGCCGGGTGTCTGACACATGTGGAAACTCAAAATACATATAAGGCTTAAAATATCCTTATTCAGATAGTATGTAATACAGAACTCGGATTCCTGTGAAACCACCTGTACAATAATCATCGTCCGATTACCAAGACGTTATGCCACTTGTAATTGCTGTTTTAAGTAAAGCTTAAAAGAATAAAGTATGATGCATCGATAATGGAAATTCTAGCCCATTATCCTGTACATCTTATTCCCTTCAAGTTAGGCAATTCTATTCTAAAAGCTACTGATGTTGATCTGTAAATGATATCAGAAATATTGTGCATGATGATCACTGACCCCCCCCCCACCACCTCCCCCCCCACCCCCCAAACCTCACCGTATTACAGATTTAACGATTTGTGATGTGTTGATGTATTGATTCATTGTGAATTTTAGCTCACCTGTTTTCCTTTCTTGCTTTCAGGGATTGTTCTGATTTTCTGACAGGTGTCATCTATTTTACTTGTAGATCGCCACAGAGAAATACAGGCATCTGAAATAGTTTTAGCAGCTGGTTGGTTTTGAAATGCATCAATGTAACCAGCATGCTTTAACCTCTAACTCCTGTCATTGGACTGAATTTATTGTTAAGAATCGTCATTTACAGGAGTTGGCAGAATAGTTTGCATCGTTTCCTACTGGATGGAAGCAAGGTGTATGATCAGCCTGAAAGACTAGAAGCATATGTAAAAAGGGATGTGAGATATAATGTTAGTTCAGTAACAAACAGGCAGTGGTTACAAATGAAATGCAAAATACTGCCGATGCTGGAAATCTGAAACAAAAACAGAGATCGCTGGGAACACTCAGCAGGTCAGGCAGCATCTATGGAGAAAGGAAAGCGTGTCAACATTTTGCGTCCATGGCCCTTCGTCAGAACCTACGGAGGGTCATGGAACTGAAATGTTGACCCACTTTTTTTTCTCCATAGATGCTGCCTGCTCTGTGAGTATGAATGCTTGTGTTTGTTTGCTTCTGCGTTCTTCCCATTCCTTCCTGTTCTGCTGTATAAACACTGCGGGCCAAATTAACTTTTATAATAGATTCAAGTGTATTCAATCCTTTCTTACTTCCCACTCAGCATGTCCTATACACATTGGACACACACATAGTTTGTTGCCCATTAGATGTGCACTATATTTTGTTCCCTTAGTTGGGGCTGATTGAATGGACAAAACAGCTGTGAAAGTGTTAGCGAAGTGACTGAAATTCAATTTTAAAATGATTTGGTTTCTTTGTTGTGACAGCGTGGGCTGAAATGACCTCTCGTATTTTATTTAAATCTAGCATTGACTGAACTTTAAATTAATAATGCTTCAATTTATTGAAATGCTGAGATTTAGTTCTCCGCCCTGCTGCTGCAGGCTGCATATGCGGCTTTTCTGCTGCCTTTTTGTGTAGTTCCCATTGAAATCAGTTCACTGTTTTGAATTTCTGCAATTACTTTCTGTTCTTGTTTTTATTTAAAAAAANGTATTTATACAGCATTTTAGTGGAGTAATTTATTGACTCATTGCCCTGCGTCGAAGTCAGCAGAACACATAAAGATAATGGTTTGATTAATCTTGAATTTACCAAATAGGCTTGAAATTGAAAGGGTAAATCTCTGCAGTGAAACTCCCTCCCCGTACAGATGAGGTTGCAATTGCTCAGCTGGTTCCTATTCAAAAGAACAAAAATGTTCAGTAACTCACAGGAGGAGATGATTTTAAACCTTGGTTTCTTTTGTTCTCCAGTTTCCTTGTGCTGTGACATTTAGGTCTGACAAATGGATGTATTATTATATAATGTCCGTTGCATGGTTTTATTTACCGATAATCTGTTGCAGAAATGAAACTCATCACACGTACAATGGTACTACAAGGATCTATGTTCCTCCAGGCCTTGTTTCACTAGCAACTTTATTAGCCTTTGACCTATATTGTGGTGCAATGGTTAAGAAAAGTTATATTTTAGGAAAAAAGGCGCTGTCATGGGGTGTTTGTAAAGTTGGGAGAAATTATAGCTGTTTAGGTAAAATCAGGTTCAGGTAAATTCTGATAGTTAGAACATAAAGGGTATGGGGAACCTATAGATTACTTACAGCTAGTTATTACTTACTTATTAGTTTCGCCCACAAAATATAGTCAATTCACTTTACAGTATATTCTGTGAAGCGCTTTGAAACGTCTCGAAGACATGATAAGACTCTATATCAAATGACAGGATTATTATACAACAACAACTTAGATTTATATAGCGCCCTCCACGCTGGACGGAGTCTCAGAGTGCTTTACGGTTTAGGATCCCGGGACCGATTATAATAATGTCTTGTCCTTCAGATGAAACCTTAACAACAACAACATACTCCCAACGTTAAACTGAGATCCTGTCTATCTGTCCAGGTGGATGTTAAAAATCCCTTGACACTATTTAAAAACAAAAGGTTTCACCCGATACCCTGGCCAATGATCCTCCAGTTCAAATTGGTTGTTCATTTCATGGTCTTTTGTGGGACATTGTTTGCAAATTGGATATCTTGTTTGCCTGTAAATTATAGTCACTACACTTTACTGTATATCTTGTGAAGCACTTTGTGGCATCATGCCGAAGTGAATGTAGGATTATTATTAAAACTGTCAGATGACTAGAACAACAGGGTGATTTATTTAGAATCTTGAAACTGAACCAACTGTGGATATTCTTTAATACAGTAGTCGTGATTTGCAGTGCAGATGTGGCTTTCTGTACACAGTGCTGCAAATTTGGGGTTCAAATTTAATCTTGTCGAGTATAAAGGAATATTACAATCGATCCAGTAGATGTGCTGCATTTCATTGAAGCTGTGTAACTCATTAATACCTATCAATTATTCAGTGTGTTTGAGAAGGAAAGAATGTATGGGGCTTTTTAGAGGTTTGGGAAGAATAAATATGAATTACAGATGGGAATTTGTTTTAATTTCCATCAGAGTATCTGACAACTATTGCTTTGAATATACATATTTTGTGTCTTCTGTGGAGGTGTACCTGTCTATGCTTCTTGTTTACAACAGCAGTGAATTGTGGTTATTACAAATTTCCTTTCAATTTGTGCATAAACATGGTAAGAGACAAAGAAGGAAATGAGTGAAGGGGATCTGTAATGCACTCTACATGACTTGTTATTAAAAGATAATTTAGTGAAGTAGTTTTTTGAGAGCCTGACCACATCAGTATGCTTCTTCGCTGGCACAAGACTGCTTCCTTGCTGATAAAATGCAATGGCAGTCAATTGCCTATTTATATGCTATTTGATACAAATAAATGCATAACTCATTTGCCAAGGAAGGCTTTTGTTAACCAAGACCGTACTTGAATCTGAATTGTTATGATTTGCAAGCTTAAAAAACATCTTACAGCTTATGCTATCATTTATCATACACTTGCATCTGAATTGAAATGAAAAAATGCTCATCATTAAAACATTACCACAAGGAACCTTTATGCATGAGCGGGTGAATTGGAAGAGGTTTGACTCAATGGATTGCTGTGTACATGTTGCTGTGAGACAGAGATATGAACACACAATACCAAAAGGACTCTAACCCCCTCCCCCCATAGAGTTGAAAGAATGATCTCTCTCTAATTAATTCAATCACCCACACTTTATCTTTAAATAATAATTCTTACATTTTTGATACCCACCTTAAGACCTTCCGCTACAGTTCCCTGTCTCCTTCCCCCTTGCTCAGGGCCTTACCCCACCACTGTGTAGAGCTCTGAGACACTATCCTATAGGAAGAACGCTATATAAATGCAAGTTGTTATTGTAGCTACTCAAAAGCACAAATCTTTCTGAATTTCATTGCTTTCTTTCACCTGATTTCTCCTTTACCTCTTCTCTTCCTATGTTAGTATCACCCCCAAAATGTCGGGGTTTTGCTTAGCCCCCACTGTCTAAGCTCATACAATTTTAAACATGTCAGCACAGGAGGCCCATTATAACTTTCCGGTGTTGTACTAGTTTCCCCGTATTTGGGCTGACACTCCAGTGAGTATTGCATTGTTGGAGAGTTGTTTCGATCTTGTCCATTGCCGGTGTCTAACGTTGCTCATTTGTTGTTGCAGTGCTCGGATGCTGGAAAAAGCTCGAAAGCAGCTTCAGGAGCAAGTTCTGAAACTGCGGACCCAGATCCTGACTGAACAGAAGAAACGGGAACAGCAGGAAGCAAATGCTCGACGTATGGAGAAACGTAATATTTTACTTACCAAGGTATGTGCAAGGCAGCAGCTCCTTTAATTGTCTCGCATTGCCCACAAACTTCAATCGGCGGCAACCGCGCCCCCGCCCACAATCCCCCAGGTACAGCTGACAAAGAAATACTGTAGTAAGGAAAAAAAAATCCCATTTCATATGATGGGGGTAAGTCTTCCACTCTGAGCTCTTGATAACATTCCAAGACTGGCAGTTTGGAATCAAGTCAGATAAACCAGGGATGTCCTGGTATATAGTTAGTGCAGCCCAGGCCTACAGGTTAATTATATTTCTTTCAACATTCTCATATTTTCCTGAGAAATGGAACCTGCGGTTGCTGAATGCTGAATTGCTCATGTTAAGCATTTCAGTGACGCCTTTAGCTTAAGCTATCCAAGACCAAAATTAAAGCATTTCTCCTTCACGTATTTCTTGTTCATTTTCAACTTTGCTGATTTTGATGGTCTGCGTGATAATTATAAACCTGTTGCTTGCTCCTGGGTCAGGTACATTCAGACTAGTCTTAAATTAAATGATTCTGCCTAAAGGGAAGTTGTCAAGCTATCTGTTGTATAGATTGCTTTGTTTGTGAACTTCTCTGTTTGTACCTGTGATGTGATTTAGTTGTCTCTGGGATCTTTTAACTTTCGGAGCTCATTGATTGTCCTCTGGTACACTTTCCAGAGGGAAAGAACTCAGCAAATGATTTTTTCCCATTTGGTCTTTTTACAAGTTTTAATGTTCCTATTGGCTGTTTTATTGGGCAGACATTTGTTCTTCCTAATTTGTTTTTAATTGTTTGCTGCGGGGTAAATGTACATAAATGCTGTCAGGATAATGTATGTTAGTCGTATTACAGTAAGGGTCCGCATTTGCATGGGCCATAAGTTGAAGACCAAATAACATCCATTATTTTAGCTGTCTTACAAACCCTGTCTTATGTTTATTTTCGATGACCTCTGATATAGCAGAACCTTTCTTTGTCAGAGCTTATCGCAGGGTTGAGACTATTGGTCTCCATTTTGTCACTCCTTATCCACTTAACACCATGTAACCTCCAACACAGGAATGTTCCATGTAGAGACTTGGCAAAGGACCTAAGAAATTCTCTCTTAAGCAGAAAGAAGACCAACAGGGGGTGGGCAGCTGTGGGATTTAAACCTGAGGCCATCTGGATAAGAGGCGGGTGCTGTGCTACCTGTTCCACTGAAACATCCGTTCAATGAATATTTAAACTACCTGTGTTTAAAGTATTAATTGAGCAACATCTGTTTATGTTTTTTTTCAAAGAATGCTATAGGAAAGCAAGAGTTTGCTGGTAACAGCTAATGGTAGTGCAAACCTTAATAAAGGTTAATGATGTCTCAAGGGTATCCAGAACTATATAGATGTTTTTGCCAGGAAAATGAATTGGCATTCACAGTGACATTTTTTTTATACGTTTGGAATTATGCTGCAAATCTTGTGTGCTCATCACTAGATTCAGTTAATTCTTTAATTTGTCAGATAAAAATGCTTGTTGTGGATGTAGACTTGTAGATAACAGTGAATTAAATCTCAAGTCTTTAAAATTAAAATAGACTTGTCGGAGATTGGGTTTTATGTCGTCAGTAAGACAATAGTCTTGCTTTCATTATTTGTGTTGTCCTCTCCTGGAGTTATGAACTTGTGCTAGGAGTGGGTGCACATGGGTATCATGTTCGAGTAACCATTCTGTATATTGGAAGCCAACTTGTGTTTGCAGGATATTTGACTATATCCATTGGTGGGTATCAGAGCTGAACACAGTTTCAATCTTTGTTCACAGTAGCGCACATTTCAGCAAGGTCACTGATAGCGATCAGGACTGCAAACCCAGGCTGATATTTTCTTCTGAGCCTTTGCACACCGTTTCCTCTTCTGGGCCTTGAGTTGCCCATTATAACACTCTCAATGTCTTCTTCCGATCAGCTGATTGAGCAGCAACTGGATTGATCCTGGGGCCTCTCAGGTCCTGTTTCTCAGTACCCATCATTTGGTTCATTAATATATTGAGACATCCTGGCAGTGAAAGCATACTTCATACAGTACATTATCTCTGTTTCTATTTTGAAGCACCAACTTATTAACCAGCGCGCAGCCTAATGGAATGAAAGACTGTTCCTGGCATTCAGCTTATTTATATTATCAAGTACATATTCTGGTTCCATCAGCTGTCTTGCTTCTCTATGTGTTGCCCTCTAATGTGAAGTGCACATAGTTTCTGCCCTCACTTCCCAGGATCTTTCACAGAAGCCTTCCATAAGTCATACTTCTGCCAAAACAAATGGCTTCTCTCAGGCTGTATCCAATGCTACTATCCCTTGTAATTTTCCTTCTTTGAGGTAAGAATCCTTGTGCACTGCTTTACAGTGGTGTTTAGATGTGGAGCTTGGTATAATAAACTCCAGAGCCTTGGGATGTCCTCCTGACGTGAAAGGCGCTATACAAATGTAATCTTCTTGTTGTTGTTGTGTCAATGTGTCTCTTCTGCCACTTCATTGCTATTGGCCATTTTAGCTCCTATTGGTATCTGAACTTTATTAGATCCAAAATGTGCCTGTTCCGAAAGGAATGCTCTCTTAGAACAACAGTGCCTTTTTGTGCTAAATTTTAAAATGTAACCAGAGGACACAGATTTAGGATAATTGGCAAAAGTAGAATTTTTTTCACCCAGAGAGTTGTTACGGTCTGGAACGCACTGCCTGAAAGGGTGGTGGAAGCAGATTCAATAGTACCTATCCAAAGGGAATTGGATAGGCAATTAAAAAGGAAAAAAAAAAGCAGGGCTATGGGGTAAGAGCGGGGTAGTGGGAGCTCTTTCAAACAGCCGGTGCCGACATGATGGTACGAACTGCCTCCTTCTCTGCTGTAGGATTCTATGAATTTATTCTTTTGTTTATTCGTGCATTTGTCATTACTCGATGCTGACATTCCATGAAATGGTATTCACATCCTAAAACGTGCTGTCTTGCTGCACAATTGCTAAGTGGCTGGCAAAGTGGTTGTTTGATTGCAGACAGAATTCCTTTTCAATTTTAATTTTCTCAGAAGGCGCCATTAGATCCATTTTCAAAGAAAATCTCTTTTTAATTAAACAAATTCATGTATTTTTCTGAAGAAAGTGTTATCTCTCTAACATTGGATTAGAAGGAGTCTGCCACACGAAAGAGAACTGCCTGTGTTGTGTTCTCCAGTGCCTTCTGCTGACGTATTTAGCTTCATGCCTTGCCTGCAGGAGTTTGATTTGAATTTAAGGCTAAGGGCACGGGGAAGAAGAAGAGGTTTTTCAAATTATTTTTCGCTGCATGCATTACCCTGAAAAAAATACAAACCAAGCTCCTCTTAAATTCATAGTTGTGGCCAGAAATACTGATCATCATTTTTTTATTTCTGATTTTATCATTTGCGTGGGCTGTTTCTAACAGGATGAGGACGCAGCTTAGATTGGGATCTTTCATTTTGATCAGAGAGCGTGTTTCCACATCAGATTTCTGCTCTCTTGCCAATCTGCTTAACTTGAAAGCATGTCAGGCATCACCATCTTGCAATTAATTTTCCTATTCATTATTTCTAATACCGTGCGCCTTTCACAACAGATTCCTGTTTCCTTTTACTTTCCACTGGGTAAACCAGAGACCTGCTGTGCATATCCCAAACTTAGGGCACAACATTGACTTGCAAATCAGGGATTTTAGTTTGTGTTCTGTTTTTTTAATCCCTTTTTTGAGTTTTCAAAGTTATCAGAGTAAGACAATTTTAAACCGTTCCTGGGTGAGTTTACACTATTTATACAGCTTATATTCTATAGGCAGCTATACTGGAAGTTCCCATACCATCTGATAATTGTTTAATGTAAAATGCAACTTTATGTACCTGCTCTGTTGAATTGATGCTGAGATGTATGTATCTCATTGAGCAGTTTGCTTGAATTCATTTAAGATATCTGGAAACGTAACTGTCCTCAAAATTCTGAAGGGTTGTGTGAAATGTCTCCTGCAGCATTGTGAAACTGTGGGCTTTTGTTGCAGGCTGCTTAATGCTGGTCTTTACTTGAGAGACAGCCAATGTCAAAATAAATCACACTTCAGATCATAAAATTCTCAAGTGAAATTTGTACCTAGCCAGTGAGCAAATCACTTATGTTTTGTTCGTGGGAATATCGTTGAATAAAATTGTTCCACTAGGGAATATATGGTTAAATTCAACAGCCATCATTTCTTTTGCGTGATAATTTTGCTGACTTCAGATAAATGGCAGTTTTGTGTTTTAGGCAGAATACAGAAATACCTTAGACTTGCAGTTTAAAAGCGTGACTGGAATGTAGCAAAACTTACAGATGTTGCACCTTCGGATCTTTTCTTTAACTTAATGTGAGACAACAACAATAAATTTACATGTGTATAGCGCCTTTCAGGTCGGGAGGATGTCCCAAGGCGCTGGACAATCAGTGTTTCGGACCCGAACTGGGGGTCGGGATCATGGAGGATGGAGGGCAGGGGAGGAAGGAGGGTGACCGAAGGCATGGTCAAAGAGGAGGGTCTTAAGATGGGTCTTGAAGAAGGCAATAGAGGGCGAGAGGCGGAGGGACTGCGGGATGGAGTTCCAGAGGGTGGGGGCAGAGTGGTAGAAGGCCCCCAATGATGGGCGGGCAGGTTGGGGGACATGCAGCAGGCCGGAGCCCGCTGAGCGGAGGAAGCGGGCAGGTTGGTAGGGGGTTAGGAGGCCACATGTCTAAACTTTTAAATTTCTCAGCATATTTAGAAATTCTAGCTTGATGGTCTTCCATAGGTAATTTTATTTTTCTCCTTTTTTCGTGGAGAAGTGAGTGTGGGGCAGAAATGGGGTACAGTTAATGTGTGTATTGGTTGATAGGCTATTTGACTGCAGTGATGGGGACATCACGAGTGAGCCCACTGCTATCCTCACCCAATGTACAGATATGCTCGCTTCCAGGAGTCACTGCACTGTATCTCCCAGCTCCACTTTCTTGCCCCACA